CTCAACATGTGAAGATGAAGAGATGCTTCGTAAAAGAGATATCTGAAAGCAGAAGAGACCTGGGGTCGTAACTGAGTTTCCGATGTGTGGGAAACAGAGTCTGAGCTGTTCTAGAGGAGTGGAAGTGGGCCAGACAGGGAAAGTTAAATCCTCCATGACCTCCCAGTTCTTTAATGTTGTTTCTTTCTGTAATGGAAAAGAAGGCAGATTGCTGTATAATGGTATGAATCCTAGTCTGCTGGGTTCTTTTCCCTGGAGCTGGGGTTGGAAAGATAGGAACTCCTTCATGCTTCAGCTGGAGTGTCAGACCGAGTAGAAATGTTCTCTCTCATGAAGGAAAGAATTGTATCTGCTCTTGTTAAAACACGGAACATGTAGAAAACTGGTAAAGAAAAATTTTTTTTCCTAATAAATCCTTTATATTTGGGCCTAAAAAACTTTGACACATGGGATTATAGAAAGGAAAAAATATCAATGGACTAATCTTTCCTAGTAAGGTCAAAGAACATTTGAGTAAAGCTAAGAAAGCTGTGCAATGACTTGATGTACTTGTCTCCTTAAGGTATTTTTTTAAGAGAGTAGATCTAATATTATTTAGTTTGAATTCCAAGTATTAATCAAAACCAAAATAAAAATTAGCTTTGTAGATAAATATAGGCATGAGTTACTCAAAGAACTTTAAAATATAATTATGCTTCTGAGAAAATGAACAATTTATTGGATGTAGAGGAAATGATCAACTTGTTGGATATATAAAATTTGCAGTGTAAGCTATGCTAGCTTTGCTAGTGGCTGACTGGCTAACTAGATAACTACATATGCTTTGCAAGTATATGTATAACTATAACATGTGTGTGATGGAGAACATGTGTTCTCATGCAAAAAAGAAATAATTGTTTCTGCTTTGTTAAGACAGAACATGTGAGGAAAAAAAACCTCATCTCCCCCTATTATCTCAGGCCTCACACTTGTAAAACAGTTATTTATTACAAATCCTTTTATACATAAGTCTCCTTTGGCATATCTTCGGAATAATAGAGATTTTTATGGAGTAAAGGACTCTAGATTTCATGTGTAAATCCTTCTTTAAAGATGAAAAGTGAAGTTCTCTGGTTAAAGTATTTTGAATGTGTTTTCATTTCTTAGGTGGAAAAAATTATCTGTAACTTAAAGCCAGCTTTGAAACTTCGCCTTCGATTTATCACACACATTAGCAAGATGGAACCAACCGCAGGGCCTCCACAAGCCATGAGCAGTGGGTCCCCAGCACCACAGTCTAATCAGGTGCCAGTGTCTTTACCAGTGACTCAGTGAAGCCACAATGTACTGTGGAGAAGATGGACCTATATTCGTCTTTGAAAGTGGACTCAAATTTATGAAAGCTGAATGTGATCGTGCTGTCGTGATATACTGTAAGCAGCAGTGATATTCAGATTGTTTTATTTTGATTCTAATGGTGAATCTATTGATACCTTATAACTCCCTCTCCTTATCTATATGTTTGTCTCTAAGAGATCAAGTAAGCTACCTGTTATTCCTATTCGTAACAGTTTATTAGAGGAACATAGAGCTATCTGTGATCAAATGACTTTTACTAGATACTTTCAATTTTTCATATTCTAGCCATTAAGGTTTTTTAAATATTTTATTGTTAATGACATATTCAATCTTCAAATACATTATTTTAAGGTCTCACACTTGTAAAACAGTTATTTATTACAAATCCTTTTATACATAAATCTCCTTTGGCATATCTTCAGAATAATAGAGATTTTTATTGAGTAAAGAACTCTAGATTTCATTGAAATTTTATTATAAATTTCCCGTGTTTCTATCAAGATTGATTGGCAGTTTTTTGCCTTTACTGGAGACTTGAGCTTACTGTATGAAATTAGTTGGAAGCCATGTATCTGGAAACTCATCAGCTTAAATAAAATCTTGCTTAAACAGTTGATTCTTCAGTCTCTGTTTTAAAAAAATAAATTAATTGCAGATACTCTCACCTGATATAATCCTTTGGATTTTTTATAATCTTAAAATTTTAAAATATTTATATTTCTAAATACAGTATACATTTTGGTTCCTAGGGTTTATTAGATTTTGAGTGTCATGTTATTAATTTGAGGGAAAAATGACATTGTGAAAGATTTGAAAACTAATTAGTAAAATCTGTTGATGAATAAACAATGTGATTCTTTCATGACTCAGTGCTAATGGGCGTCTGTTGTAAGCAGCATGCTGGCTGGGCCTCAGCAGGGAAGGACTACTCCGTGGGTCCTACTACACCACAGCTGGTGACTGACATTGACCCAGGAATGAATAATTACTGATTTTTTTAAAAAGAAGAGCTAGTGAATTTAAACAACTGTACTTCAAATTCATATTTCCACATGCATTCCTAGAGCTTAATTTTCTTTGTAGTTAATCTTATTACAGTCATTATTTGACATGTATGTCCAGCTAAAACTTTACATAATGATATAAGTAATTTTTCCAGGCTAATAATATCCTTTAAAAATGTTGTGCCAGATTATTTCAAATGTTATTCACATGGTCTCAATGTGCTTGCTGCCTTAAGGAATATGTTGCTTTGGGATCCTAGAGTAGGGAGAACTGTGACACTGATATTGCACAAACAGAACAGAGAAAATGAAAATCAACATTACCATTTTTCTCAAAGATGTAGGCATTCCAATTTATTAAAAACTCAGTTTTCTCTCTCAAGCTCAAAAGAATGGGAATATGATTTTTCCTGGGTACACTTTGAAATAGTTATTAATCAGAGACTAATAGAAGACAGAAACTTTATTTCTGCATAGGATACAGCTGAGGCAAAACAATGCCTTTATGTCTATCACATCCTAAACGTTTTCTTTTTTTTGAAAATTAATAGTAGCTTGAGAGTGGCTGTGTCCAGTAGGGCCTGCGATGATGGAAAGATTCTACACCTGTGCTGTCCAGCACATAAGTGAGTAGCTCCATGTGGCTATTGAGCGTTTGAAATGTACTGAATTCTTAATTTGATTAATTTCAATGACTGCATATGGCTACTGTATTGGACAATGTTTTCTAGAGTAAGAGCCATCATAATTGTTCTTATCTGAAAGTAATTTGATAAAATGTTTTGTCTTTCTTTTTTTTTTGAGTTGGAGTCTCACTCTGTCACCCAGACTGGAGTGCAGTGGCATGCTCCTGGCCACCACATCCTCAACCTGCTGGGCTCAGGCGATCCTCCCGCCTCAGCCTTCCAAGTGGCAAGAACTACAGGCGTGCGCTACCGCGCCCGACTAATTTTTTATTTATTGTAGACACGAGGTCTCGTCAAGTTGCCTGGGCTGGTCTTGAACCCACGGGCTCAGGCTGTCCACTTGCCTCAGCCTCCCAAAGTGCTGGGATTACAGACTGAGCCACTGAGCCCGGCCACCTTATATTATCTTTCAAAGATCTAGCAGTTAGAGGCTACAGGTTTAAAATTCTGGGTTGCATGTGAAAAATCAGATTGTAGGGGATCTTTAACATGTAGCTATTAAAACAGCACAATAAAAATCCTTGCATTCTACTATTGCAGAATCCCCTTGGGTTTTTACATAAGTTCAGGATGCTTCTCTTGTTTTGATTACAGTTTTCTTTCCATTGTTTTTTCCACTTTCCTCACTACACATTCCAGAGCCAACATGACTTTATGATGTAGCAAATGAGACATCCCTATAATTGGAATGAGTGAAGGGTGAAGCATCCAGAAGCCACAAATAATTTTAGGTGAAATCCTCATCTGAATTAGAAGATCTTAAACAATAACAGTTTGGCCAGGCACGGTGACGCATGCCTGTAATCCCAGCACTTTAGGAGGCTGAGATGGGAGGATTGCTTGAGGCCAGGAGTTTAAGACCAGCCTGGGCAACATAAGGAGACACTTGTCCCTACAAAAAATAAAAAGTTGGCTGGATGTGGTGGCACATACCTATAGTCCTAACTACTTGGGAGGCTGAGGCAGGACAATTGCTTGAGCCTATGAGTTCTAGGCTTCCTGAGCCATGAATGTGCCACTGCATTCCAACCGGGGCAAGGGAGTGAGACCCTGTCTCAAAAAAAAAAAATGGGGGTGGGGAGGAGGAGGAGAAAGAGAGAACAAAAAAGAAATAGCATTTCATTTCAATTTCCCTGGCTCCTGAATAGATTTTTGGGAACATTTTCTACCTCCCCAAAGCGTACCTGAACAGCAACCATGCTTAGAATGTCAGCCAATACCATGTTTGAGGTTTCGAACAAGTAAAACATGTACTTCTAACCTGGATGAGTTTGATGATGGTCCAAACCTATTATTACCCATTTTATAGTTGAAGAAACCAGAGCTAGGGAGTTTAAATAGCTTCATCAAGGTCTTGCAATGTTTTGGACATGAAGATTTCACTGTGACCATTTAAATATTTTTAGTAGTTTTAAGCAGGATGTATATATGAAGTGTGATGTATGTATGTTTTTGCGTATATGTAGACACAATATAATCTTCTTATAAAGAATTTATTTTATTAAAAAATCACATCTTTTGAACAGCATGGATACATGGTACCTTTCTAGGTGGGGTAGCTTTGTTTCCTGATAAAAGGAGTCTCACTCTATGTATGGGGACTTATTTAAGTTTGGGTGTGTGTGTGTTTTGAGGAGTCTCATTCTGTCACCCAGGCTGGAGAGCAGTGGCATGATTATGGCTACTGCAGCCTCAACCTCCTTGGCTCAGGAGATCCTTCACCTCAGCCTTCCAAGTAGCTGGAACTACAGACATGCACCACCACACCCAGCTAATTTTTTTTGTTTGTTTTCATTGTAGACACATAGTCTTACCATGTTGCCCAGTCTGGTCTTGAACTAGGCTCAGGCAGTCCTCTTGCTTCGGCCTCCCAAAGTGCTGGGATTACAGGCATGAGCCACTGTACCCGGCCTTAAGTTGTGTTTATTTTTAATACCACCAAATTTTTAATTGGAAATGAATTGTGATTCTCTTTCTGAGGATCTTTTGCCAAATTGGAAAATAGGAGCTTTTTAATTTCACAAAAGTTATAATTTCCAAATCTTGAATTTCATACCAAGAGGGACTTCATAGCGTTTATCCTCATTGGAAAAACATTTTTCTGAGAACAAATGTTTGGGAGGAAAATTGCAGGCTTAGCTAAATTATTGAACTTGCTAACTGTTCTTTAGCTGTGAGATTTTCAGATGATGTTTCCACATTTACTTAGGTGGGTTAAGGTAGTCAATCGGCTTATGATTACCCTCCCGAGCGACTCCAAAACAAGCCAAGGTTACTGCTACTGCTGTGTTCACGGTTCGAGTTACTTCATCTGGTGTCTTCCCCAGAGATGGGTTCACTTCCATTATATCTAATCCTGAGAGTAGTCCTACAACAACAAATGGTAATAATTTAATTTGCAAAATAGATGACATTTTAAAATCAGTACAGACTAATTTGAAAGGTTATCCGCTTTTATAAAGAGATGGTAGCCAATGGAAAACACTTCAGTTATTGCATCACACGATTGATGGGCATTCTGGAAGTGTCCATGGTTTTCAGGCCAAGGAAGTATAAATATACATTGGCCCAGTATGCACTTGTTTCTTCATTCCCTCATACTGCTACCTACCTGTTTTGTAAATTTCTTCTGTGATGTAGATACCTTCTCTATAAGACAGACCCCCCATGACTGGTGTGCCCGTAGCAGGTGTGAAAAACGGGTCCAGTCCATCGACATCAAAACTCAGATGAATTGGCCTTTTCTTTCTTTTAAAAGAAGTGGGAAGGGATTTCAGTATAAAGTTAGTGGCTTTATATTTTGTAGGTAAATATTAGTTCTTACTGTTTTATAAAAAGTAATCCATGATTGTACTTGAAGACTATTAATAACTCACATTAATTAGTGTCCTTAGCAAGTTTTATGTTACACACACACACAAAAGCATCATACCTTCCTAGTAGATAACTGAGTGTTTCTTCCATCACTTTGCCAATTCCCAGTTTATCCACTTCAGTCATTGAAAAGTATTTAATACCCAGCGTTTTCAAAATGTAGCTGTGAAAGAAGAGATACAGGATAATCTATAATTAATAAGGTTGACTCTATGCCTGCCTGTTTTCTTTTAAAGAAAAGATAGATGTGGTAGCCAGGTGCACTGGCTCACACCTGTAATCCCAGCACTTTGGGAGGCCAAGGCGAGAGGATTGCTGGAGCCCAGCAGTTCAAGACCAGCCTGGATAACATGATGAGACCTTGTCTCTATTAAAAAAATCATTTAAAAAATTAGCTGGGCATGGTATTGCACACCTGTGGTCCCAGCTGTTCGGGAGGCTGACGTGGAAGATTGCCTGAGCTCAGAAGGCTGAGGCTGCAGTGAGCCATGATTGTGTTACTCCAGCCTGGGCAACAGAGTGAGACCTGGACTCAAAAAAAATCAATGTGGTAGAATATATAAAATATTTAGTTTCTATGAGATATATGTACATCAGTGTGGTTTTATTTGTATTTATTTTTAACAGCAAGTCAGTTGCCTGAATACATACATATGTACGTACATGTATATAAATATATATGTGTGGGAGTATATGTGTATATATGTGTCTTGCATTGCTGTTTAAAATAGTATTTTCCTGTAGGTTTGGTCACCTCACACACAAAAGGACAAAAATGAAGGTAAATCATATCAAGGAATAACTTACTGTTCTCCAGGGTCCACGTCTCTCAAGCCAATATACACAATATCCTTGGCAGATACGCAGGGAGTCACCCAGGAGAATCCTGGTACATCAGGTATCTAAAGTGGCAATGTTCTCATTTGGTTATGTCTTTGTCTATTGAGCAAATCCCTCATTTGAAGCTAAGGATACTTGTTGGACTGCATAATCTTATATTTAGAATATAAATTTAAGGGAAACCATTTTTAAATGATGCAAAAGGAAGGAAGGGATGGCTGCCTCCCCTGGATGGCTTCGGCCTTGTCACCCTGCCCCTGTGGCCCAAGTCTGCCCTGAGCCACTTGGCACTGGCCTGCTCCGTGCCCTAATTCTGCTGGGCCCTTCCTTCTCAGTACTCTTCTACAAAGAAACGACTGTGCTCCCATGACTTTGGAAGCGTCATTCTTTGCTTTGCGTTCTCACTAAGGCCTCAGTTGGGAGGATGGCCTAGAGCACTGAGGGAAACTTTTGACCAAACCTTTGGTTGCTCTTCATAATACGCTTTTTCCTGAATCCCAGCTTTTGTTCCCATGTGCTAACTAGACATTTTGCAAGTTTATAAACCCATCATATGGTCATTTGTTCAAAAAATTTTACTTCTGAACTTTTAACATAAGGGGGTCTGAACCCTTTGTATTATGATAAGAACTAATATACTACCACTGTTACAAGTAAAAATAGTTTATATATACAGCATATTGCTACAAATTATCAACCACAATGTTAAATCTTAATCTGAAATTTTATATTTTTTAGGAAAGACGTTTCTAGGCAGCAAGAAATAGTTCTTTCTCTTATGATGTAGATAAATGCTTCTTCCAAGAAAGATGTTAAATAATGAACATTGTAAACTGCATTTAAAAATCCCATTTTTGAAAAGTCTCTGTGATGTGGAAGGAACACTTTGCGAGAACGTAGGGCTGTATGGCGTCATGGAAAGAGTCAGGAGCCAGAGACCTGGTACTGGCCATGGCCTCATGATAGGCTTTGTGTATCACATGGGCAAGTTGGTTAACCTCTGAACCTCTGCTAACTTGTTTATAAACAATTACTCTCTGCCCCCACCTACTAGAAAGCTTGTTTAAGAATCGAAAGGAAAGATCTATATGAAGTCAGCTTGCCATTTAAGGAGGTAACGCTAGAGAGCCTGGTTGCTTTTTTCAACCAACCCTTTGCTTATTGGCTGCAGAGAAAATGGTCTGAGATGACACCAAGAATAAGAAGGCATCTAGTTTCTACTTCCCTCCCACCTCCCGAACTTCTACGGAAGAGTATTCTTTTGTAATGGAATACCAACCAGACTTTTACCTTTCCTTTTAGTTCCTTCAGGAGGAAAGATACAGGCTGTCCATGCAAATTCCCACTTGTGGTTGTCAGCGGAGTGTTGATGTCAGTGTGAGCATCCACCCAAATGACACCGAGATCAGGATGGACCCTGGCATGGCCAGAGATGCTTCCAATCGCCAAACTTTGAAGGAAAAAGTTTGTGTGAACATCCAGTTTGCAATTTCATTACATATATCACGTTATCAACTCAATGCTCCCACTGGGTTTTCCTTTACGTTAAAGTGTCTGGTATTTCTGACAGACTCGAAATTACAGATGCCAATTCAACAATGATAACAAGAGAGGGGGCATCGTGTAGACATGATACAAGTTATAGTTACATCGATAGCATTACCAAAATTTATTTGTTTGTTTTTTCGAAATCCACCTTGTAATAAAATCACAAATTATAGCTTGGCCAAAAAATAAATATAAAAACACCAGCCACAGCAGAAATTCCTTAACATAAGACTGTTCAATTCTCAGAGTTAAGTCTGGATCATTTCTTCACACTCATCTCTCTTGGTAGTTAATTCTCTCAAGTGAATTATGACAAAGTCTTTGCATTTTTCCTAAAAATCCAGCTCTTTTATAATTGGGGAGCGAGGCTCAGACGTTCTAACAACCCTTCAGCCGGCAAATGTTCACTTTATGCAATGCTAGTCCTCTGCTGTGACTGTCTGCTCTCCTGCCGTACCTGCAAAGACCGACTCTTACCTGGGAAACAATGAAGTTTATCCCTAGTAATCCAAGCTCCAGACACTTTGCCAGAATGGAAGAGCCAAGTTATATCTTGCACAGAGGCTAAAAGATTGGGATTTACTCTACAATGTCTATATTCTTTCACCTGTGAATGTGTAAGTATCATTCAGAGTATCGTGAGCTTTTAGATTCTCAAAGTTGGAAGTAATTCTGCCCTGAGGCTCAGCTATGGATTATGCAGCTTGATATTAGTTTTCCCTTCAGGTTTCTTGTCTTCTGGCCGTTTGTCACTCTTAAAATTTCGAATTACAAATTTTTCCACTTAAAAATGAAAGCAATAAAGTAAAATTTAAAACTAATAAAATAATTAGCCAGGCTTGGTGGTCTGCGCCTGTGGTTCCAGCTACATGGAAGGCTGAGGTGGAAGGATTGCCTGAGCCCAGCAGATTGATGCTGGGGTGGCTGTGAGCATGCCACTGCACTCCAGCCTGGGCGACAGAGTGAGACTCCAACTTAAATAATATAAAATCGAAAGTGAGTCCCAGTTTCTCAACAGCAGTTTTGTTACAGAAGTCCTGGTAACAGTTTGGCTTTAGAAGAGGAGAACCGAGGAGACCCAAAGTGACTCTTGCTTCAAAAGTCACCGGAGTGTTTCTGTTCAATCTAGTCAGGCCTCTTCTGATAACATTACTCTGGAACTAAATATTATTTAAAAGTCTCATTTTTAAAAAAAGCAAAAAATAAAATAAAAGAGTCATACACCAAAACAGTTTTGGCCACATCATTCGTAATGGTGAAAATTTGAATATAATGTGAATATCTGATAACATGATAACATATGTAGTGATGTAATCCCTTGAAAACAAACCACGCAGCAGTAAAAAAAAAAAATGATGCTTACAATGCTACGTGCATACCACGAAGTAAATTTGTACTCCCAACTAAGAACAAAAGATGGGATATTACACACACACACACACACACACACACACACACACACACGAAACAAGGTCGTTAGGTACAAGGAAAAAAAGATACCATGAAAGCAACGTGCTAGATTTTCCATCTTGGTTGAAATGGTTCTCAGGGAAGTACAATTACCATGGCTTTTATTTTTTATTGTGTGTGTGTGTGCAGACTTTCCAAAATTTTAGAATATACTCACTACTTTTATAATGGAAAACATATGCTTTTAAATTGCTGACTTAAATGAATCATACTTATTATTGGTAATCAAGTACAATAAAACTATGAATTTCCTTGTGCTCATCTTTTTAGAAATGTAAGCCTGTGCTGTTTTGATGGCATCCATTCCTAATTAATGTATCTTCTGCTGTACGAGACAAAAATAAAGATATTGTAAGACTTAAGAGCTAAGTCTATGTTTCTATAAGAAAGTAGTGGTCTATAAAATGTTTTTTAGGGCCGGGCTTGGTGTCTTAGCCTGTCATCCCAGCACTTTGGGAGACCGAGGCGAGTGGATTGCCTGAGCCCGAGAGTTCGAGACCAGCTCGGGCAACTTGGCGAGACCTCATCTCTACAGTACATCACCAAAAAAAAAAAAAAACTAGCCGGGCATTGTAGCGCGTGCCTGTAGTTCTGGCTACTTGGAAGGCTGAGACAGAAGGATCGCCGGAGCCCAGTGGGTCAATGCTGGGGTGACTGTGAACGTGCCACTACACTCTGGCCTGGGTGACGGAGTGAGACTCCAACTCAAAAAAAAAAAAAAGAAACAGAAAACTTTTTTTAGAAGGCAAAACATTTTGTATGAAATATCGGTCAGTGCTTTTCCATCTGGACTTTCTCTCTTCTGATCTTGGTGACACTTTGTGCTGTTCGTGCCCGATTCCCAGAGACATAGTCATTCACCGCGACCTGTGGTCTCCGCCCAGCACCAGGCTGACTCTCCCATTCTTCTTGACTTCCGCCACCGCGCTGGCCAGCTGCTCGTTCGCTTTCCCCACAGACCTTGGATTCTTCACAATTTGAAAGGGACTGTCATTAGGAACGTCAACCAAGGGCAGATCCCCATAATCTTTCACATCACACTCTAAAATTAAAATGGAAACGTTTCCAGTTACTAAGTAAAAAAGTAGGCTGCAAATCAGTCTGTGCAGGATAATTCCAAATGAACACAATAAGTATATTTTCTTCAGGGTAAGCAAAGAAAAAGTGTGGAAGGACTGTGATCATTGTGAGGGTAGAAATCATGTCTGCTTTTGCCTGACATCATAATCTCACCAGCACCGCAGCTGTTACCCGCTGCATACCCAGCTCTCAGTAAATACTTCTTGCACTGGTCCAGTTAGACTAGACACTAAAATAGAACAGTGACAACCTTCTGGTTTAGGCTTAATGGGAAACATCGCTGTCTTTGTGTGTCTCTCTCCAACCTCTTATAATAAGCATATTTTATTTTGGTAATACGTTGTTTTATATATATATTTAGCACTGAGCCTAATGCTCAGGAAATAAAGGCTTTGTGATTGATTATCTTTCTTTAACAAGAAAAAATTGGCTGGGCTCGGTGGCTCAGCCTGTCATCCCAGCACTTTGGGAGGGTGAGGCGAGTGGATTGCCTGAGCCCACGGGTTCAAGACCCGCCCGGGCAACTTTGTGAGATCTCATCTCTACAATAAATCAAAAATTAGCCGGGTATGGTAGCCTGTGATTCTGGCTACTTGGAAGGCTGAGGCAAAAGGATCGCTGGAGCCCAGCAGGTTGAGGCTGCGGTGGCCGGGAGTGTGCCACTGCACTCCAGTCTGGGTGACAGAGTAAGACTCTAACTCAAAAAAAAAGAAAGAAAGAAAGAAAGAAAGAAACAAGGAAAAATTGCAGGTAACTTCAAATTCCTAAGAACTGAGTATGCTTCCTAAAAGGCCCTGAATTAGGCTTCAAAAGTAGATAACTTCATGTAAAACTGTAATGTGGACTCAGTACAGTATTCTGAACGAACGAGCCATCATATATGGTGTTTATTTTGTGTCTGTGCATGTCTGATTCAGCAACACCTCCAAGAGATCTCACCCAATAGAACATGCGACCAAATGATGCTTGTTAACTGAGGGACAAGTTCATTTACCCAAGAATTCTGTTCTCTACTGAGTATCTTTCTTTTTTCTTCTTTTATTTTTGAGATTTATGAAGTATAATTCTTACTTGTTAAAGCTCACTCATTTTAAGTGCATAGGCCAGTGAGTTTAGGACGTTTCTACAGTCTTGCAACCACCACCACAATCAAGATTTGAAACTCTTCCATTCCCCTTGAGCGTTAATCACTATGCAGCCCCAGGAACTATGCTTTTGTCTTTCTAGAATGTCATGCCAATGGAATTATACAGTAAAAGTTTTTCGTGTCTTAGTGTGTGGGTTTTGAGAGGCATTCATATTCTTGCCTGTGTCAGCATTCCTTTGTATAGTTGAGTACTATCTTGAGGTATGGATGCTCCACTTTTTACTTAACCATTTACCAGTTGATGGACATTTTGCTGTTTCCATCTTTTGACTATTAGAAATATTGCTGCCACAAGCGTCCAAGTACAAGTCTTTGTGTGGATGCATATTTCACTTCTCCTGGGGAAACACCCAGAGGTGGAACTACTGGGTCAAAAGGTCAATGTGTGTTTACTTAAGAAACCTCCAAACTGCTTTCCACACTGGCGATATTTCGCATTCCCACCAGAAATAGGTAGGGGTTCCAGTTACTCCACAAACTTGCCAACACTATATCAGGGTTTTAGATGTAAATATAATGTATAATTAAGCCTATGCTTTTAAATATATATATACATTTGCATGCTTAATGTGTATATTCTTACATATGTGTGTACACATACACACACTGTGCAAACACTAGATGCTATTGTAGTTGTTACTGTTTCATTTTACTTCCTTCCACGAATGAGGATCTTCTTGCTATAGATACACTTCCTGCCTCCCTTGCCTTCCATTTTCTTTTTTTTTTTTTTGAGTCGGAGTCACTCTGTCACCCAGACTGGAGTGCAGCGGCCGCTCCCGGCCACCACAGCCTCCACCTGCTGGGCTCCGGCGATCCTTCCGCCTCAGCCTTCCAAGTAGCCGGAATTACAGGCATGTGCTACCACGCCCGGCTGATTTTCTGATGAGGTCTCACTGCCCAGGCAGGTCTCGAACCCGCGGGCTCAGGCAATCCACTCACCTCAGCCTCCCAAGGCGCGGGATGACAGGCTGAGCCACCAAGCCCGGCTGCCTTCCATCTTCAATGCCCAATTCCCCTCACCCACCCCACTCCCGTTCTCGCACACACAGTTTCTCTCACGCCATCGTTTGGTTGGAAAGAAAGAATCTGAGTGAGGATGTTCGCCCTGCAGTGCTTCCAGAGTCTTTCCCCATGCCCTGCTTCTCTTATAAAATGTGCTTCTAAGGCGTAGCTTGGGCGGTAGTTCAGGCACCAATGTCATTCCAGACACAGTTGGCGTTCTCAGGGGTCTGCTCCTTCCTTCACGGCAGGGCAGGCAATCAGGCCGATCCCCTATCCACTTAAACATTACCTTGTTCTTTAAGTTTCTCAAGCAGACCAGCCTTTCTCAGTGCTGCAGGGCCTTCTTCCACTCCTCCTCGTGGCTGGACAAACAAAAAATAAAGTACTTCAGATATTATCATGACCATCAGTTGCTCACAATAGGACCCCTTTCCGTTACTTAACCAGTTGAATTGTCACTATCATTTTCTGAGCTCCTACAGAGCCAGGATTTGTCAAGATCGCATTTGACAAGATCTCATTTCATCTACACAGCAAGGCAGAATGAATTACTCCAAATAGTAGGAACTAGAATTGAAAGGGTTACACGATTTTCTACCAGCTGATAAGTGGCAGAGCCTATGTCCACATACAGGTCTTTGGAGTCCAAAACCTGCATCTCCGCTTGCCATCACACCGTGACACAGTGAACACGTATTTTGCGCAAAAGCACTCTGACAGCCGGAGGTCCAATAATGAACAGGAGAAGGTTCTGTCTTTGAGTTACTCATCAGCTAAGTGGGGATTGGAGCATTTAAGCCCAACTGCAGTTCACAGACAGTCGCTTCAACGACGACAGAAGATGTTGAAGATGTCATAGCAACAAAACAGGATGCCCCTAGCTCTGTCGGGGGGAAAGGGTGTGTCAGTGAAACAGATGACATTTAAACTGAGTCTTGCAACATGAGTAGGTATTCAGGAAAATAGGATGGGGTGATAGAGAAACTCTGCAAACCAGGGGAATGGCTTGGGCAAAGGCATCAGAAGAGAAAGGGCGTGGCATGAAAGAGACCGATGTGCAAGTCCTCACAGCCAGAGCACTAGAGTTCTTGAGAAGAAAGCAGGCAACAGGGAAAATCATCACCTGGGAGCTGAAATCACAAACAAAGACCAACCCAGTCATTTCAAGTTTTGACCTGTCTGTGCAGTTGAGGGGAAGTCCTACCCTTGCTGCTTTGACATAGGGAAGCAAACACTCTCCCTCCATGGGGCAACTCTTCCCCAGCTTCCTGGCTGACTAGGAGTCTAAAGACATCGTTTTTTGTTTTTTGTTTTGTTTTGTTTTGTTTTGTTTTTGAGTCAGAGTCCCACTCCCACCGCATCCTGGACCTGCTGGGCTCCGGCGATCCTTCCACCTCAGCCTTCCAAGGAGTCAGAACTACAGTCGCACACTACCACGCCCGGCTAAATTTTGATTGATGGGAGAGACGAGGGATCACCAAGGTGCCCAGGTGGGTCTCGAACCCGCAGACTCGGGCAATCCACTTGCCTCAGCCTCCCAAAGCGCTGGGATGACAGGCTGAGCCACCGAGCCCGACCCAAAGACACAGTTCTTTTCTGTATCATTCTGATTCTAATTTCCAATGGGGCTTTTAGATGCAGAAAATGACTTTTCAGATAAAATGGGCCAAAAGATGTGCCTTTGTCCCTGAGATTGGGGCTGTGGCACCAAACTAAGAAAATATTTCTTCCCCATCCAAATGACTGGAAGACCTGCCCTGGGTGCCAGGCAAATCCCTGATGTCAAATTCTTGTCCCTGTCCCTGTCTCCATGCTCTGTCTGACACATTGGCTCGTTAATGCCACCCTCTTTCTGCTGACCCAGCTCACTGTCCCCATCAAGCAGACATAATTTCTCCTTCTTTAAACCCTAGTAGGGGGCTGCTTGCTTCCTATTTTGCCTTTTCTTGTGTGTCTGTTATTGCCTTCTCCCATTTGTTAGATTTCCGTCCAACTCTCTTTGCATTTAGGGCATTTATATTCTGTGGTGTATAGCCGACCTATAGTGGATACTCGAAAGTCCTCAGTTTGATAAAACTTTGTGACTTTTCTCCCGCCTCTTCTTTTCAGACTTTAGAACAAATCTCATAGACATCCCCCTTAGCTGACCCTATACAGGAGATGCCCAAAAAAGTATGCACATTTTAAGAGGTGTTATGCACGTATTACTTTTTGAAGTTTAATTAAATTACGGTAGCCATGTGTAGTATGACATTTGCTCAACTGTGCTTCCGCCATTTTCTCTGACTGTCCTGCCTGTCACATGCTGATGCTAGCATTCATTTGATTAACGCCATCTTTTGAACGAATGTCGTACTTAAAATGTGTATACATGGTTTTGACACTCCCCGTATTTGCTATAACAGGGTCATTAAATTCTCTAATATTCTTTTTTTATTTGTTTGATCCAAACCACTTCTCATGATTAGTCTTTGCACATGACTTGCTTTATCTGTCCACTTTGGAAATTGCTTTGTTGGTTCCGCTGGCTTTCTAAGCAGGACCAAGCCCCCAACTGGCCAACAAGCATAAGATCCCCTCTGGAGTCAATTCCTCTGAAGAGGTATCGGTGCAAGCCAGAGGCACTGGCTTTGGAATCAGACTGTCCTGTCTGGAATCATGCAGTCGAGGCTATGTGATCTTGAGCAAACTACTAAACCTCTCTGAGCCTTAGTTAATGCAACTGTTAGGTAAAAATAATACCAATCTCATTGTTTGCTCTCTGCCTTGCAAGGGGGTAAGGTAGGGAATCAAAGCCCTTTCTTAGAGGCCATCTGGCTCTAATCCTCTCTTTCTGCCTGCTTGTCAAGGTTTTACCTCCTTCGGGGGCAGACAAACATTTGTAATTGGCCATTTTATCCCCTCTGTGGCTTGGTGTAGGAAAAAACCTCTCTTTTCAGTTCTTACAGTCATGAGACAAAAGCTTCATTCTCATGGCCATGTTTTAATGGGAGAAAAGCTGGGACGGGAGGCAGAATTACCTCCTTCTGTCGACTTTTAAAATTCCACCATTGTTACAGCCTGTTCCAAGAATAGGTGAGCATATTATGGATTTTAAAAGAAACACTTCTGTGTCAGCAAAATGTCCCTGTGTTCTGGGAGAGCCCTTTGGAGGATTTCCAGGGGAAGCGAAGCAGTATTTACTGACAGTCCAAATGTAGTCTAGGTCTCTAACCTCTGGCCTCTTTCAATTTGTTTTGCAATAAAAAGTCAGAGTGCACAGCAAGGGTTCAAAATTAAGAGGGGCAAAACGCTGCCCATATTCTGAGAAACCTGCAGAAAGACGCCATTACAAAAAAAAATCAGCCTGAGGAGTTTCCACTCACACATTGTCTTGTTTGATTTGTGTCCTTCTGTTTCCTCTTTAAGCGAAAACCCACACTGAAGTCTACAGTGTTCTGTCATCTCATTCCATTTACCAGAACAAGTATGTAAGAAGAGTGTGTGAGTGTTGCTGGCATGCACAGGCTCACAGCTGGTGGCTCGAAGGCAATGTGGGGGTTTTATAAATCCATTAGTCCTTTCAGAGTTGCAACTTGCAGTAGGATTTTTCTTTCTTATGTTTTTCTCCTCAAAGAGAGCTACATAAAGGATTCTACCAGTCTATAAACCAATAGTTTTACAAAACCATTAAAGCCCTGAAATAATGTGAATCATTCACACAATTACGTAAAGCAATAATATTAGGTTATCCAAATTATAAGAAGTCCAAATATTACCACAAATCTACTAACTTTTTTAAAGCATTCATTGCATAGCTAACCAAATTTTTAAAAAATAATTCTCTTTATGTACACACAGTAACACCAAAAGCAATAAGAGCATCAAACCCTAAATGAATAAGTACAAAACAGAAATAGTGCATTTCAATTCAGAGAAAAATATTGTTTCTTTACACATACAAGGAAACATTCGGTAGGTTCGAGTGTACCTGGCTTTGGCTGAGGGAAGAATCCCAGGAGGAAGTGGGTTTGTGACTCTTATTATACAATGCTGGAAAAGGGTGAGAGGACTTTAAAAGATATATTTCGGGCTGGATTGCATCAGGAAATTTAACAAACCAGACAATATGCCTTATAAACTTTAAGCTGCAAACTCTTCAAATAAACCCCAGATATTAAACACTAGGCTTTCAACTCACCTGTCCCTTTGAGAAGGGAGCTCCGATGACCCCTATGGTCTTGCACTTGACACTCATGCTCTAACACTTCCTTTTGCTGCACCTGAGCTCTCCAGACAGCCGCCACCCTCTGCAGCCCTCAGTGACTGAGGGCACATTTTTTTTTTTCCACTTATAATTGGGTTGAATCTGTTTACCTTTATTCTAATGAGGGCAACTGGCTCCACCCACTGAACCAAAGAATGAGAGAGTCAACAGAAAGTCTTGCAAATTCTTCATATGTGGAATAATCGCGATTCCTCTGAGTGTTGGTCTCTAATTAAGTGAGCGCTATTCATATTTAGTTCACTCCCTTTTAAAAAAAGCCAGCTGGATGATATAAGTCTTTCCTTAGACAACCGACGACTCCATGTGGTTTCGCAACCATGTAAGAAAGTACTAGAGTTCTGGCTGTGTAACCTCAGGGGAGGACACTTTTCTCCTCCAACTCTGAGCCCTCCTTTCAGAAAAAGGCCAGCCTGGCAAAATGGTCTCTCACATCCCCTCCAGCCCAGACATCCTGAGTTAGGACTTCACACGTGAGAATAAATGTTTCATCCATGAGACACAATTCCTATACCACTAGGGCAGAAAAAGCATATAACTTCCTTTTTGATTATTATTTAAAGAAAAAATTAATTACTTGATTGGTAACTCAGAGGTCTTGCCAATTTTGAAATATAAGGTACAGGAAAATAATCGTTGGAACCATAATATTATAATCAAGGAAATAAAAACAGCTGACAGTTTTGTTGTGTGTGAGATGTTGTTCACTGTCATATTACCTTATTTAATCTTTATACTAATTTTAGGTTAAGTCGCACCATTAGTGCCATTGTACTGATGAAGCCGATAAGAAAATTGAAGGTCAGACAGTCTGGGCAACATAGCAAGACCTTGTCTCTACAAAAAATAAAAAAAATTAGCTAGATGTGGTCATACATGCCAGTAGTCCCAGCTACTCCGGAAGCCGAGACAGAGGATCACCTGAACCCAGGAGACAGAGGCTGTGGTGACCCATGATTGTGCCACTGCACTCCAGTCTGGGTGACAGAGTGAGATCCTGATTCAAACAGAAAGAAGGAAAGTAGCTGGGTGTGGTGGTGCACACCTGTGGTCCCAGCTACTCGGAAGGCTGAAGAGGAAGAATTGCCTGAGCCCAGCAGGTCAAGGGTGCAGGAGCCATGAGCATGCCACTGCACTCCAGCATGAAAAAAAGAAAATGAGGGGGAGAAAAAAAGAAAAGGAAAAGGCGGGGGGGGGGGGGGGAGGGAAAAGGAAGGGAAGAAGGGAGGAAGGAAAGAAGAGGAGGAAAGAAACTGAAGGTCAGAGAGGTTGCCAAAGGTGGGAAACAGGTTTGTAGAGGAAGAGCCAAGATTCAGTCTTAGACATTCTGGATCCACCTCACCACAGGGCTTAGTCTAAACACAGGTAGGTGTCAGCTGCTAACTACCTGTGACCTGGGATATTACTGTTTGTCATCATGTAAAAGTAAGAATATAGAAGAAGTTCATCTTAAAGATTCTTCCAACCTGAGACTCCAACTCACAAAAAAAAAAAATCATATGATTGCAATATAAAAGATAAACTCACTTATTAGGAATTAATGTGTTTTTCCTACTGGTAGGAGAGAAGGTTGCAGAGTTTAAATTCCACAGGGCATAGAAACTTGTCTGCTGTATCCCCAGAGCCTAGAAGAGTGCTGATCATAGGAATCCGATACACATTTGTTGCACAAATGAATAAGGAAACAACAGTCTTGCGGGTCCATTTTGATAGGACCCCCTTCCAAACAGGCTTTCTATCTTTCTCCTGTGTTTTGCTTGTATATCCTAAATACTTGCGTGCGGTATTCCTTGTGTAGCCTGGACATTGACCTCTTATGGGGTTGACATTGTGAGTAACATTTTCCAAAATATAAGAAACCTGATAATTTTACAGATGTTATCACCCAAAATCCTCAATTTTAAAATAAACACTTGGCCACTGTTTTGTTAAGCACTGACTCAGCCATGTTTTCCTAAGGTTTGGCCCCCTCCCCTACCTTGGGGAGGTGAATCTCCTCTCTCTCTCATTTACTTTCTAAATAAACTATATTTTCCAATAAAAAATAAAATAAAATAAAATAGACACGTGCATAATTTTCCCCTAATGCTTTGTGCTTTGAAAGTTATAAGTCCCACCCACCACCCAAATCACAAAGATGTGCTTCTACATTTTCATCTATTTGCTTTAGAGTTTTTCTTTCTTTCTTCCTTTCTTTCTTTTTTTTTTTTT